GCCAGGATGGTCTTGATCTCTTGACCTCATGATCTGCCTGCGTTGGCCTCCCAAAGTGCTGGGATTACAGGCATGAGCCACCGCGCCCGGCCAATTTGTATCTTTGAATTTATCCAAGTTCTTCCTTTTTAAAAAAATGCCATTTGTTTGTTGAAGAAACTGTCATTTTTTTTTCTTTTGTTTTTTTGTGAGATAGTCTCACTCTGTCTGTTGTCCAGGCTGGAGTGCAGTGATACAATCTTGGCTCACTGCAACCTCTGCCTCCCGGGTTCAAGCAATTCTCCTGCCTCAGCCTCCCAAGTAGCTGGGATTACAGGCATGTGCCACTACTGCCCAGCTAATTTTTGTAGTTTTAGTAGAGGTGGGATTTCACCATGATGGCTAGGCTGATCTTAAAGTCCTGACCTCAGGTGATCCACCTGCCTTGGGCTCCCAAAGTGTTGGGATTACAGGCATGAGCCACTGTGCCTGGCCGAAACTGTAACTTTTATATATAATTTACTCGTTTGCCTTTTTAAAAAATCGAGGCATACTTTACATACAGTGTAATGTGCAGATCTTAAGTGTACTATTCAATGAGTTTTGGCAGACATACATACTTTTGAAACTCATATCCTTAAGAGAGCTCAGAAATAAATCACACTTGACTGGTCAATTGATTTTTGACAAAAGCACTGAATCGTGGCAGTGGGGAAAACTTGTAACTATATCTTGGATGGTATCGTAAACCTTAATATGTGTTAATAACTTTTTCCACAGACAGGTATAAAAATCTTCCCACAGCTTCCCGAAAGCTGCAGTTCCTGGAGTTACAGAAGGACTTAGTAGATGATTTTAGGATACGACTGACACAGGTGATGAAAGAAGAGACTAGAGCTTCCCTTGGCTTTCGATACTGTGCAATTCTTAATGCTGTGAACTACATCTCAACAGTACTAGCAGATTGGGCTGACAATGTTGTGAGTTAATATTCTTTTATATTAAGTAATATATTACTAGTTTGAACTATTTTATTAATGCTTTTTGAAATTGAATCTATTGCAAGCAAAAATAAACATGCTAGATAGAATCATAGTGCCATGATTAGGAGGTGTAATTAAAACACAGTTTTTTGTCAAGCAAATCTCAAGTACTTAAATAATCCTGATATTTTAATGTGTTTAACCATTGGAAAAGCAAACCTTTCATGAAATAGTTGTTTATAGAGTGAACCATTCGGAAATATCATATATGGTAATTGCAATCACAAGAAAAGCTAAGATTAAATAGTGATGTCAAAAGCAATAAAATCCAGGACTTTAAGGAACATAAAAAAATGTTTAATACCAGAACGGGCGCGGTGGCTCACGCCTGTAATCCCAGCACTTTGGGAGGCCGAGGCGGGTGGATCACGAGGTCAAGAGATCGAGACCATCCTGGTCAACATAGTGAAACCCCATCTCTACTAAAAATACAAAAAATCAGCTGGGCATGGTGGCGCGTGCCTGTAATCCCAGCTACTCAGGAGGCTGAGGCAGGAGAATTGCCTGAACCCAGGAGGCAGAGGTTGCGGTGAGCCGAGATTGCGCCATCGCACTCCAGCCTGGGCAACAAGAGCGAAACTCCGTCTCAAAAAAAAAATGTTTAATACCTCTTGAATGTCTTCAAAACATGACAAATTATAAAGAGCTATAAAAATAGGAAGGAAACATTTGAAGTTTTAATCATTTCATACATTAATAAACTATTTGGCTGGGTGCACTGGCTCATGCTCGTACTCCCAGCACTTTAGGAAGCTGAGATGAGAGAGTTGCTTGAGCCCAGGAGTTGGAGACCAACCTGGGCAACATAGGGAGACCTCATTTCTCCAAAAAATAAAAAAAATAAAAGTAGCTAGATGTGGTGGCACATGCCTGTAGTCTGAGCTACTTGGCAGGCTGTGGTGGGAGGATCACTTGAGCCCAGGAATTCATGACCAGGCTGTGCAACATAGTGAGACCCTGTATCTACAAAAAATAAAAATAAGTAACATTTTGTGTATCATATTTTCAAATATATGCATGAGTAAATAGACTAGGTAAATGAACTTGTGGCTATCGCTTGACTTCTTACACTAATTTTGTTTTATTTAAACCTCTTCTGCCCCCCCATACTTGATTATTTTGAAGCAGATCTCAGATAACATATTTCATGGTAATATTTATATAGAGAGGTGTATATTAGTATGCATCCCTAAAAGGTAAGAACTCAGTTTAAAAAAAGAAAACTTCACCACCATGATTGTATCTGAAACAAATTAACTGATTTATTTATTGAAAGGTTTATTTTAAATAAATCTATAAATAAAAACTTGGTCCAGTTAACAAGTACCATAAGACCTTTTCCCTCCAGAGTCTGTTGACCCTTCCCTTCTCCATGCAGATTCTGACATGATTTGATTTGCCTAATTATAATTAAGCAAACCAGCTCACAGATTGGATTTGTCTAACTATAATTATTAAGTAGTAGTTTATTTTTAGTCTTTTTATTAATTCAAGGAAGATCCTGGCTGTCGGGACTTTTGGTAACCAGATTTTCCAATAGGTGCTTCCAGACAAAAGTCTAATAATTAGCCTTTATAGCCTCAACATAGACAGATGAATTCTTTTGGATGTTTTAGATATTAACATCATCTTAGAGGACCTCCAGAACCCCTTCTTGGACAGGGTGCCCTTAAGTTAACAATCACTCTTCTAAGATCATCTGTGAGAATACTAAAGTCAACTTGGGTTTGTACCAGCTTGGGTGTCCCATAAAGTAAATTTTATGACAGAACGCATTAACAGAACTAGGATGACCATGAAATGGTAAAGTGTACATTAAATGTCAAACGAACTGTACTGAATAAATCTGATAATGACTGAAAATTTTGATATGAAATATTAAATATATAAAATATATAATTGTGTCATAAAAAGAAAACAGGAAGATAAAGAAGACAAAAGCAATTTTAACTAAAGACCAAAATAATACTGTTACATTGTGATAGGTAAAGTGAGAATTTAAAAGTTATAAGGTTAAATAATTAGATTGATTAACTGAAGATAGGTGATAAATTCTACAGTATAATGGGAAAAACACAATTTTCAAGTGTGTACAGATGAGTCACAAAGATGGACAAGGTAAATTAATTTAAAATCTCTGCATTATCAAATCTTAATGCAATAAAACAAAAGCAGAAATGAAATATATTCATACATGGACATGTAAAAACATTAAATCCTTGGATTAGGAAGTAAGTCTAGAAAACATGACATATTTTAAATTATGAGTTTAAGAAAAAAAATTGTAGTATATTAATACATTATATAGTACATTTTGTTATATGTAGAACCAAAATTTATGATTACTTCTAAAGCATTATATAGAAGAAAATGTATTCCTCATAATAACTATTTTAATGTAAAAGAAAAAACCAAACAAACGTTTTTGTGTTAAATCCCAGGTAATAAGCCATATAAATAGGTAGCAAAAGTAAATATAATCATTATAGATATAAACAAGTTAAACACCTGATAAACACAATCATGGTTTATTCCTATCTGGAATCTGGCTGGGACTTAGTAATTATTTAAAGCTTTTTTTCTTTTCTTTTTTTTCCTTGCAAATGCATCAGGATTTTTTTTCTTTTTTTTAAAGGAATCTCGCTCTGTTGCCAGGCTGGAGTGCAGTGGCACTATCTCGGTTCACTGCAACCTCTGCCTCCTGGGTTCAAGTGATTTCCCTGCTTCAGTCTCCCAAGTAGCTGGTACTACAGCTGCCCTCCACCATGCCTGGCTAATTTTTTGTATTTTAGTAGAGATGGGGTTTCACCATGTTGGCCAGGCTGGTCTCGAACTCTTGACGTCATTCGTGATCCACCCAGCTTGGCCTCCCAAAGTGCTGGGATTATAGGCATGAGCCACCATTCCTGGCCTAAAGCTTTTTTTTTCTATAAAAATGTTTTTATTTTTTATTTTTATTTTATTTTTAAAGATGGGGTTTCACCATGTTGGTCAGGCTGGTCTTGAACTCCTGGTTCAAGACCTTGATCATTCAGGTGATCCACCCGCCTTGGCCTCTGAAGTGCTTGGATTATAGGCGTGAGCCACCACGCCCAGCCAAAATTTTTTTTTTTAATTATTTATTTATTTATTTGCATGAAGGTCTCATATAAAAATGTTAACTGAAATCCATGTGCATAATGTCATTCTGCTGAGCAAGGAAAATAAAAGTTATTTCATAATATGATTATAAGATAGAGGGTAATGATCAATTTGTTTATAAAGTCAGCTAATCTGGCTGGGTGAGGCAGCTCATGCCTGTAATTCCAGCACTTTGGGAGGCCAAGGTGGGTCGATCACCTGAGGTCAGGAGTTTGAGAGCAGCCTGGCCAACATGGTGAAACCCCGTCTCTACTAAAAATACAAAAATTAACTGGGCGTGGTGGTGCACAGCTGTAATTCCATCTACTTGGGAGGCTGAAGCAGAAGCACCCTCTGGAACCCAGGAGGGAGAGGTTGCAGTGAGCTGAGAATGCACTGTTGCACTCCAGCCTGGGCAACAAGAGTGAAATTCTGTCTCAAAACCAAATAAAATAAAATCAGCTAATCAAACCCTGTCTCTAAAAATACGAAAGTTAGCCAGGCGTGGTGGTGCACGCCTGTAATCTCAGCTACTCAGGAGGCTGAGGCAGGAGAGTCATTTGAACTGGGGAGGCAGAGGTTGCGGTCAGCTGAGAATGCGCCATTGCACTCCATCCTGGGCAACAAAAACAAAACTGCATCTCAAAAAAAAATAGCTAATCAGCATACATAGATTCATTTTGTACTTTTTTATGTGTTGTGTCTCTAAGTAAGTACTTTATTCTCTCAGCACCCCCACAGCTCCATATTCTACGAAGCATTTTTAGTAATGTGAAACAAATTGTTATTTTTGACTCTTGTGCCAGATTTTTAGCTTCAATGAAATTATTTGTAGAACATCATCAACTGTTTTATGTGGTGCGATAGTCTGTTAAGAAAGATGGCTGGCTGTGGTGTCTCAGCCCTGTAATCCCAACGCTGGGAAGGCAAGGTGGGCTGGTCACTTAAGTCCAGGAGTTGGAGACCAGCCTGGGCAGCATGGCAAGACCTCATCTCTACAAAAAATAAGCAAGCATGGTGGCACACCCCTGTAGTCCTAGCTGTTTGGGAGGCTAAGGTGGGAGGATCACTTGAGCCTAGGAGTTGAAGACCAGCCTGGGCAGCATAGGAAGACCCTGTCTCTACATAAAATTAACTGGGCATGGTGGGCATACCCTCTGGTCCCATCTACTTGGGAGGCTGAGGTGGAAAGATTGCTTGAGCCCTGGAGGTTGAGACTGCAGTGAGCCTTGATCATACCACTGCACTCCAGCCTGGGCAACAGAGGGGGACTCTGTCTCCCTCCCCCTGCGAAAAAAAGATGAATAAGCCATCATTCCTACACTTAGAAAATGTATAATCTCATGCTGAATTAACTGGGTCCTCTCTCAGCAGAAAAGAATCAAATTTCAGAATTGATTTTTCAAATTGTGAATGAATTGTGTCCTAGTGTGGTTATTATGGTGCAAATCTTGCCGGGTGCTGTGGCTCACACCTGTAATCCCAGCACTTTGGGAGGCTGAGGTGGGTGGATCACCTGATGTCAGGAGTTCGAGGCCAGCCTGGCCAACATGGTGAAACCCTGTCTCTACTAAAAATACAAAAAATTAGCTGGGCGTGGTGGTGCACACCTGTAATCCCAGATACTTGGGAGGCAGAGGTAGGAAAATCACTTGTACTCAGGAAGTGGAGGTTGCAGTGAGCTGAGATTGCCTCATTGCATTCCAACCTGGGCGATGAGTGAAACTCCATCTTTAAAAAAAAATATATATATATATATATACACACACATATATATATATATGTGTGTGTGTGTGTGTGTGTGTGTGTGTGTGTATATATATATATATATATATATATGTATGGTGCAAATTCTGTCTTAACCTCAAAAATACTTTAATCATTTTCACAGTCCTGTAGCCAGTGAATGCTTTGTAAGTAAAAATTATTAAAGCTTTTGTATTGCATAATTAGAAAATGGACAAAGAATGGACAGAGTTCATTTTCCATTTGTTTCAGGTTCTCTACTGATAACTGTCCATTGCCAGATTATACCAAGCCTGAAATATGCAGCCTTTCAGAATTAGGAATTTTTCAGTTGTAGGTGACAGAAGCCAGATTCAAACTGGCCTAACTTGGGGTGTGGGGTAAGGTATAGGAGGTGCGAAATTTAACTTTTTAAAAGGATTAGGCATGGCTGTTCTGAAGTTGCTTATTTCTGGTTTTGTTCTGAGGCAGGCTCTGGACATGTGGCCACAGGTAGTTTCAGGCTCACGTGGTCCTTCTGCAATTTCAGAGTGCTGCTTCTCTGATAATTTTAGCAGAAATACCAGGGTGCCTCTCATACATCCATCTCTGAATGATCACTGGTGCAGCCAGGGCATGGGATCACCAAGTTATGTGTGCATTCTTGGCATCAAAGGATAGGGCTGACACCACCTAAGTTGTCTCAGAGTGGGGAAGAGGCAGTTCCCTAAAGGAAAATTAGGGTACTGTTAAAAGAAGGGGAAAAGTTGCTGGAGAAGTAAAAGTAAGTGATGCCCATGATACATTTTATGCAAACAGATATGGGGTGGGAGTACTCGGGGAGAGAGGCAGTTGGGGAGAGAGAGAGATGATCTAGGTTTATGTTGGGTAGTCGGAATTTTAATAGTAAATGTATTTTTTAAAAACCCAGATTTTATGCTTTGTTATCCATGAAGTCTTTGGGAGAATTCTAGATGGCTTTTGGTTTTTATTAATTTTTAATTAGTTTTATTTCAAGAACTTTAAAAGAAAAGCAACTGAAAATTCTTAAAAAAAATTTCAAGGGTAGCCAATTTTTTTTTTTTTTTTTTTTTTTGGAGACAAGAGTCTCACTCTGTTATCTAGGCTGGAGTGCAGTGGTGTGATCCTGGCTCACTGCAACTTTTGCCTCCAAGGTTCAAGTGATTCTCCTGCCTCAGCCTCCTGAATAGCTGGGATTACAGGCATGCACCACCATGCCCAACTTATTTATTTTTAGTAGAGATGCGGTTTTACCATGTTCGTCAGGCTGATCTCGAACCTCAGACCTCAAGTGATCCTTCTGTCTCAGCCTCCCAAGGTGCTGGGTTTGCAGGCATGAGCCACTGTGTTTGGCAATCAAGGGTAGCCAAATGTCTGTTGCCCTTAACATGGCTTATTGTGATGTGTTTATTGCCTAAAGCTATTCAGAGTTTTAGAAACAGCAACAGCCACCTTGGCAAGGTGATTTATTTAGTCATTTGTAATTGTATTTTGGAAAAACAAAATTTCAGACCTTTATAGTTAATCTTATGCTTAAATGCTTATTGATGGTGTAATTTTAAAATTATTTTTATTTAAAACAAGGCCAGGCATGGTGGCACACATCTGTAATCTCAGCACTTTGGGAAGCCAAGGTGGGCAGATCATCTGAGGTCAGGAGTTCCAGACCAGCCTGGCCAACACGGTGAAACCCTGTCTCTACTAAAAATACAAACATTAGCCAGGCATGGTAGTGTTCGCCTATAGTCCCAGCTAATCAGGAGGCTGAGGCAGGACAATTGTTTAAACCAGGGAGGCAGAGATTGTGGTGAGCAGAGATCGAGCCATTGCATGCCAGCCTGGGGGACAGAGCAAGACTCTGTCTCAAAAAAAAAAAAATTAAAAAACGAGTCACAGGGTGGGCGCGGTGGCTCACGCCTGTAATCCCAGCACTTTTGAGTGGCTGAGGCAGGCGCATCACCTGAGGTTAGGAGTTCGAGAACTGA